CGAACGACTTCTTGTAGCCGTCGATCTCCGCCTCCTTGGAAGTAATTGCGGCCCTCTTGTTCTCCAGTGCAGCCTGGAGGTCATGAACTTGCGTGGACATCTTCTCAGCCTCGCGCTGGAGCTTGACCAGCTGCGACTGCGCATTCTTGAGCTTATCCTGGGCCCTGCGATGGGCAGCCTCAGGTGACTGGACACTCTCGAGCTGCACACGGAGGGTCTCAATCTCAAGCTGGTGCGCCTGCTTGACATTGGGCGGCAGCGACGGTTCCTTGAGGTACTTTTCATATATATATATATAGAGAGAGAGAGAGAGAGAGAGAGAGAGAGAGAGAGAGAGAGATCGACGAGAGAATCTCTGCACGGGTAGCTCCTGCATCCTTCGGCCTCTCAGCACCTGTACCCTGGTCGGGCGTCGGGTCCTTGAGGCTGGTGTTGGCCAACTTGCGCTCGAGCGCGGCCACCTGCTTGCGGAGCTCCTCGTTCTGGTCCCGTGCCCACGGCGCTGGTGTGGCTCGACGGCCACCAAGCACGGGCTTCCTCCCTTGCACTTCCTTCTCAGCTCTCTCAGCTCTAGCGTGTGCGGTCTTGGCTGCGGCGACAATGCGAGCTGGGGCAGCGGTGCCGCAGCGGCAGCGGACTCGGCACGCCCAGTTCTTGTCTGCGCCACAACTGCATCCCCAGAACGGTGTCCTGGGCCCGCGCAGCACATCGGAGACGGGAGGCGGTGGGACCATTGGGCTCGCGAGCCCTCCAGCAGGAGGACCCCTGAAACATCGGATTGTCTGGCTCGGGAAACAGAGCTATCCCACTTTGGCACGAGGGCGCGGAAGCCCCCAAGTGCAAGCATCTTGAGCCAAAATGGCTACGGCAGGGAAAGAGAGAGAGAGAGAGAGAGAGACAAAGGGAAGGAGAGAGAAATATAATAACGGAGGTAGAGAGAAATCAACTAATCGAGGAAGAAGTCAAATAACGAGGTAGACCGGCCCATGAGAGCACGGTGGCCATATATAAATATGGTCGATCCCCCCCCCAGCGACCCCCCAGAACGCCCAAAGCACGAATACACGACTCAACTTTGGCCTGCCATCCAGGCTGACGAACTCATCCGCTCGGCCCATCCGTCACGGGCACCGTGCGCGCAAGCATATCGGTTTCGGCCGAGGCCACGAAACACTGTGTATCACATGTTTTTCTGTTTTTTCTGGTCTGGGAACCAACGAAACACTGCGTATCACTTGTTTTTCTGGTTTTTCTGGCTTCTGGAGCTGAAATGCTCGCCGCGGCCTCGCCCCACCGCTCCCCCACCTCCTGTTTGTCGGCACCTGAAAACCAGAAAAACCAGAAAAACCTGTGATATACAATGTTTCGTTGGTTCCCAGACCAGAAAAACCAGAAAAACCTGTGATACACAGTGTTTCGTGGCCTCCGACCAAGGCTATGGTTCTGGTTCTGGTTCTGGTTCTGGCTCTGGTTCTGGCTCTGGTTCTGGTTTTGGTTCTGGCTCTGGTTCTGGTTCTGGTTCTGGCTCTGGCTCTGGCTCTGGTTCTGGTTCTGGTTCTGGCTTTGGTTCTGGTTCTGGCTCCTACCAGTGGTTGTACTGGCACAGGGGCGAGGATTTGTGGCTGGCAACAGGGAAGATGCTGGAGGAGGCCTTCCTCAAGGAGCACTGCCAGTGAGCGGCGAGCGCTGTAGTCCCCGAAGAGTACACAATGTTTTCTTGCTCGGAGGCCACGAAACACTGTGTATCACAGGTGGTTCTGGTTTTTCTGGTCTGGGAACCAACGAAACATTGTATATCACTGGTTTTTTCTGGTTTTTCTGGTTTTCAGGTGCCGACAAACAGGAGGTGGGGGAGCGGTGGGGCGAGGCCGCGGCGAGCATTTCAGCTCCAGAAACCAGAAAAACCAGAAAAACATGTGATACGCAGTGTTTCGTTGGTTCCCAGACCAGAAAAACCAGAAACACATGTGATACACAGTGTTTCGTGGCCTCGGCCGAAACCGATATGCTTGCGCGCACGGTGCCCGTGACGGATGGGCCGAGCGGATGAGTTCGTCAGCCTGGATGGCAGGCCAAAGTTGAGTTCTCCAACAGGGAGAGGACCAGGTGGAAGAACAGAAGGTGGAGGACGAGGGAGGAGGGAGGAGGAGGACGAGTAACAGGAGAAGCAGGAGGCGAGGGGGGAGATGGAAGAGGAGGGGGAGGATGAGGGAGAGTAAGATGAGGAGGAATACTTCTCGGGTCACAGCCCGCTGTGACAGACCATGTGTCTGCGGCTGTTCGGTGCCAGCATCTCAAGACCGCGGCTTCGTGTTTTGGGCGTTTTGGGGGTCGCTGGGGGGGGGGACCGAGCATAAATATATATATATATATAGAAAGACACAGGAGCGAGCGATATGACACAAAACTCGATTGAAAACTGCCAGTCGATGTATGTAAGCACATGTGTAAGTGTTGTTCCGTATACATACATACACACACATGTAGACGTATGCATGTATGTATGTGTGTGCATGTGTGCCGATCCACCATACATGCAATTATGCACTGGTCTACAGGAAGTGAAGGTGGCATGCCATTGTACATGGATGCATACATGTGTAAACATAGATATGGAGGGATGGAGAGGCACATATATGGGTGTAGATGTAGAGGGAGGGAGAGAGAATGATATCGAAGCAGTGGTGAGATGGAGAGGAAGAGAGGGACAGTGAGTGACATAGAACCGACATGGTAGGTGTCATCCAATATGTATTTATATAGACAAACAAGAAATGAAATTAGAGCTAGAACCACGTGTGCTTTAATACGCAAGCGCTGAAGTTGCAGCCGCAGCTAGGCCACGGCTCTCGTGTTCGCTCGTGCCATTGGTGACGCTTCGAGTCTCCCCACATGAGGATTTTCGGAAACCTCGGTCCGCCTCGGTCTCCTTCCAAGATGCCCAAACATCTGGAAAAAGGTAAGGGGAACACCCCATGCCCGCTCAAAGCTCCAAGAACAGGAAGTTCAGGGCCAAGAACCACTATCCAGAGTAGCCGACCAAGTCACGACAACGGTACCAAGAAACTGCGACCACTCACAAGCGACTCCCGAGGCACCCAATACGTTCCACGAGGCCCCTGGACCGCTAAGAGACGCCCAAGACGCCCCAGTGGGACCCCAAGAAACTTTCAAGAAACATCCGAAGAACTCGCAGCCTGAAGGATACCGTCGCGCAGCGCGCTAACGGCCACTAGAGGCGGCACAGGAAGCCACCTTCCTGTGCCAGCGCAAGCACTGCGCTGACCCTCGGAGTCGACCCTAACGTGATCACGTGGGGACAGCGCGCAAGCGCAGAAACTCGTAACGAGACTAGACGAGCCGAGGAGAAAACCGAACAAGTTTATCGAGCTGCAGCCAATGCAACTCGGGGTCGGTGACTCGAAACCTTCGCTGGCACGAGACCTTCGTGTTTGTGCTGGTCCACAGGGTGACCATTCGTCAACAACCTGTGCATATGCTGGGCCGCACGCTTACTGTATAGAGGCGGCAAGCATCTGTCTCTCAGGGAAATGCCTTTCCCCGCGGAGATCCTGCCGCAAAGAAGACAGATGAACACGACACCAAAACAAATAAACACCTCGTGACTCCGACATCTGCAAGAAAGTCGTTCCGGTCATATTAACTCTGACTTCTTGCTATGACATGTCCGACTCTGGTTCCACCGAGACACCTCGACTTGGCAGGAGGCTCTCTTCCGCCCACCCCCCGTCCCACACCCCGAGGAGAAGGAGGCAAGGCAAGGCAGAGGCCGAGAATGCAACTGAGGCGGCGCCGCCGCGAGATCGGGCCTGGTCCACCGCGCCAGTGACGTCACAGTAGGTTGCCGCTCCGAGACATCTGAAAAGACTCTGGGAGACATCCCAAAGGCCTCTGGACTTTCTGCTCCCCCTCCCCCTCCTCCTTCTCCTCCTCCTCAGCCGTCTGTTCCTCCCTCCTCCCTCCTCCCCCTCCCCCTCCTCCTACGATTCCTCCTCCATCCTCCCCCTCTTGGGACACGGCGGTTTCCCCAGCCCGCTGCTTGACTGCATGCTCCTCCACATCCCTGATCAAGGCACCTCGCCTTGGTATCGTTTCTGGATGGGCTGGTGGGGTTACGCGAAACGTCTAGAACAGTACCCTATTGCGGTATGGAGGCAGATCTAATAGAATCCGAATATGACTCGATCCAGCCTGAACACAACCCTACCAGGGCTCGATCCAAATTTACACAGCAAATTCAAACACCCGACAAGGGCTCGACACAGCTTAAATAGCATCCTACTAGGGCTGGAGTTTGCTGCAATGGAATCCCACACCTCCCTCCCCCTCCCCCGGCCCGGTCCGAGACGAGGGTGGGGGTCTCAACCCCACCAGACCCCGGTTCGAACCAGGGTGTGGGGAGGGGTCCGATCCCCCCCCGTTGGGAGTGGGAGGCTGTTTCCCCCCCCCCATACCCTGGTTCAAACTGGCGCGGGGGCTTGCCAAAAGCGCCACAAAGCGTTCTTTCTGTTCTTCTCACAATGAGAGGATGGCATTTGGACGACCAGAAAACCATACTGGTTATGGAGAGAATGGCTACGATGCCGAGCCGACAGCGGCCGCTGTTGTGCAGGCGGCCTTATGTCTCAAATGAACAACTGTCAGTCTCCGTGCCCATTCTTGAATATGGACCGACCGTTGGGGCATTCCTACAGGTCTACCACGAAATATCCTGAGAACCCAACAAATTGCGTGAGAACCTGTACAGCTTTCTTAGGACATAAACCCAACACAGCCTCAGCCAGAAATGTTCTAAGACCATTTCGTGCAAACCACAAGGCGTTCTTAGAACATTAGTTCGTGGGCCTATAGGCAAACAAGGAGGCTTCGCCACTGCTTGACATCTGTTTCGTACGAGTGCCGAGCGTATCGATGTCGGCCCTGCGTCGCCCCCGCAGCGGTTGCAACTTCGACGGGCCCTCGGTGACCGGGCGCGGCGCCTGTTCACGGGGACCAGCAGTGGCCGGCGGTCCTGCGCGGCGCGCATGCGCTGGAAGGCCGCCTCGATCTCCTGGGCGCTGGCACGGGTTGCTGAGCGGTCCGAGGCGCTCGTCTCCGCCGTCGTCATCGTCGTCGCATTTATCGCCGTACTCGTCATCGCTAGCCTCCTCTTCCCTCCCCCTCCTCCGCCCCCCGCCTACGTCTCCGTCCCACCCCGTCCAGATCATACTCCTCGTCCTCAGCACCGCCGCCGTCATCGTCATCCTCCTCGTCCTCGTCACTGTCGTAACCATAACGTCATCATCACCGCCAACAGAAACACCATCATTCTCATCAACATCGTCATCATCGTCATCATCGCCATCATCGTCATCATCATCATCGTCATCATCATCATCATCATCATGGGGCTGCGAGCCTGGCGAGGTACGAACCACTGAGCCCTGGCGAGCCTGTTCTATTTTCCTGGCGGAGCGCCTGAGAAAGTCCGTCTTCGAGAACAGTGCTTAGTCATCGCGATGAGACTGCAAGCGAGAGGCCAAGCAAAACTGTGACGCACAGCGAGCCCTTGCTCGAAAGATGTCCCTGCTACATAAGACATTGAAAGGGCGGCCGCGGGTGGGAGCCAAAAAGACTGTGGAGCGGAGCAAAAGGGAAAATGCTGAACAAGCGTGGACGGCGACAAGCTGCTCTCCTCCCCATGCCTGTGCACGCACTCCTATGGGGCTGCGAGCCTGGCGAGGTACAAACCACTGAGCCCCGGCGAGCCTGTTCTATTTTCCTGGCGGAGCGCCTGAGAAAGTCTGATGTCGAGAACAGTGCTTAGTCATCGCGATGAGACTGCAAGCGAGAGGCCGAGCAAAACTGTGACGCACAGCAAGCCTTTGCTCGAAAGATGTCCCAACCCATCCCGAAGCAGCAGTGGATGCGACTCAGGCTTGAAAAAATCTGGCTCGCAGAGGGGCCACAAGAGCACGGGCTAGCGCACGATTGAGCTGCTGTGGATACGACTGAGCTATCTGCGTCCAACGTTGGCCATTCGGAGCAGGGCCTGACAGAATGACATGCTTGCATCCCGTTCGGCTACAAACGCCGCTGGCGCCCTGGCACTGCCGCGAAAGCCCCTCGAGATCCTGGACGGGGATGTTTCCGCGCAGCAGGGTGGTGGGCTTTTTCCAGGGGGTGCCGAACTGACAGAAATCTATCCTCAGAGGCGTCGCCGAGGGGGAGCAGGCCAGGCGCTGGAACTCACGGGTTTTGAACATATAGCTCGCGCATGGGTTCTCGAGAATCCACGGGGCACCAACGGCGTTACACTCGCGAATTATTGCCAGAGAAGCTTTCCAACGCTTGTTACCCTCCTCGAGTTTCATCCAGCCCTTCAAACTGACCTCCTTCCTTGAAAACCCCCACGGTCGAGGCGCAGATCGGATGGGCGCTGCGCGAATGCGTGCAATACTAAAACTGCTGCATGGCGGCGCAATCATCGCCCCAAGGCACCGACCTCGTCGAACGTCTGAGAGAAGCGCCCCTAAAACGCGGGCAGAGGTGAGGTCGCCGTGCTCTCCATGCGCGATCTCCCAGGTCCGTGCCTGGAAGCCGAGCCGTCGGAAGGCTCTGGCGACCCCGCCCTGGCCCGCGAAGGCGTCTGCAATGTAAGTGTCCTGCATCAGTTGCGCTCCGAGCATGGGAGAGGCACGAGCCGCGCGTGGAGGGCGATCTCCGTGCCGCGAAGCTCGCACTCTTGAAAGTATGCCTGGAGCGCGGCCGGGCGGCGGTGAAAAGAGTCGGACAGCCTGGCGTGCTTCTCGTAACGAGCCACGCTCTTGTTCGACTTCCACTGACCACGCTTCTGCACCTCCAACAGGGAGCGCGAGCCTCGCGCTCTGTCCACGCTTGGCCCGCTGCGCCGCGTCTGGTAGGGCACGAGGTCGGGCGTTCCGATCAGCTGAGCCGCCTGGCGGAAGGTGCGCAGGTACTCCCCGTAGTCGAAGTCCCACAGCGGCCCCCCTCCCGCCACAGCTCGCAAACGCTCCCACAGAGGGTTCAGCTCCTTCGCCCAATCGCTGTCCAGCAGGGTCGACACATCTGACTCCCCAGTCTTGCTGCGCCCCAGCCGTTCCTGCGGGTGCACGAGCACCCCCTAGTGCTGGGTCGCGCCCAGCGCTGGTGGGATCAGGTCGCTGCCCTGCACCGTCAGCAACGCGCCTGGCCTGAGGTAGGTCGAGACGGCCATGATCACGAACGCGGCCATCCGAGAGCGGCTGAGATGGCAGATGGCGTTCGCGAGCCCGTGCCACACGCCCGGCCCCTCCGGCCTGCGAGAGCGCCCCAGGCACAGCTTCTGCCAGCCCCGCAGCGCCCTCCAGGCGCGGGGTAGCTTCAGAGAGCCCCTGCGCCCGCAGGCCGGGTGGAGGTGGATCCAGCCCGCCAGCGCCATTGCCCCAGTGGACGGCTGCAAGCCCTTGAAGAAGCACGTCTCGAGGTATGACGCGAAAGCGGCGTCCACAGCGTCGGCCGCGGCGTGCTCCACTGCAGGCCCCGCGCCGCTGCAGAGGTCTTGAAGGCCGCCGCCTCGATGCGCACTCGAGATGGGCCTTGTCCGAGACGGCCCGCTTCTCGAGCAGAGTGATCCCGTCGCCCTCGGCCCTGAACTTCTCCTCGAGGTAGTTCCAGAGCCGCCGCTTCGAGCGCGTGGCCAGCGCCCTCTCTCGGCCGGCGGCCCGACCGAGGCCCCCGGACGCGGGCCCAGTGCTGGAGGAGCTCGAGGTGCGCTGCCTCCGAGTGCCGCGCTTCTCGACGTAGTCGCCTCTCCCCTCGCGCGCGACCTGTCGGCCCACTCCTCGAGGGTCTGGCGCTGGGGCGGCCTCGGCAGCAGCAGCTCCTCTAGCGGCACGCGTGGCGAGAGCTGCCTCGTCCTCAGAGGCCCTCTCTGCGCGGCTGCGCGGCTCTGCAGCCGCGGCCTTGCCGCTGCCAGCGCCCTCGTCCTCCTCCCAGACGCCGGCCCCGCGTCCTGGTCGCTGACATGCGCCGGCGCCCGCGCGGCAAGGGTCCGCTGGCGCTTCCGCCCGGCGCTCATCAGCTTGGGCCTGCGGCGGCGGCGCCCGGCGCACGAAGTCGGGAATGACCCAAGCAAGAGACGACGATGCTTTTTCTGAAAAGATACGGGACGGCTCGTCACCGAAGTTGAGCTCGCTGGGAACCCACCTCACGCGAAGCCGAATATTGCGAGCCAGCAAGAATCCAGTGAGCTTGCGCAGGACGGTCAGCAGCATGAAGTCCCGGCACCGGCGCCGACTCACAGCCAGCACGACGCCCATGTTGTCGCAGAGGTGGAGGTGCCTGCGATTGCCCCCGACGGCGACCTGAGCCAGTCGTCGCGCAGAGGCCAGCAGCGCGCGCGCCTCCAGCAAAGCGATGCGCCCCCGGCGCCCCCACGTGCCCGCGCGGCACACTCGCCAACCCTCAGGATGGAGGAGGCGAGCTGGCACCTCGGGAAAGCCCTCCACGATGGACCAGTCCTCCCCCAGCTCCTCCTCCGCGCGCGGCCGCCAGACGCCGTCCTCGAACACGAACCCAGCGGCCGTCATCGCGGAACCACGGGGGGCAACCGGCCCCCCGCGGTGGAAACGACCTCGCTCTCGGACTCGCCCGACGCTCGCCGCGTCACGGGATGGCCAGCGCGAGCTCACGATGCCGAAGCCCTCGGGGGACGCATCCGACGCGGTGACGCCCCTGTTCCACGGCAGCCACCAGTCGCTCTGCATGAACACCAACAGCCCCAGAAGCCCCAGGAAAGCACCGAACTCCGCCTTGACCGAGTCCCAGAGCTCGATGTCCTTTGTGTAAGTGGCGTGCACGAAAGCGTACGAGGCCGCGAAAACAGCCATGGCCTCTCTCTTGATCAGGGCGGCGTAGGTACAGTGCCCGAGGATGCTCTCCACCATCTGCCCGCTGGCTCGCCCACGCTGGAGGAGGTAGAGCAGCCCCTTCTCGATCCTGCACCGGCGCTTCGGCGCGAGGCAGGTCGCGAGCCTCGAGCCATCGAGGTCAACTCCCAGCGCGGAGCCCTTCTCGATGAAGAGCCGACCTCGTGGATGTCCAACCCGCTCTCGCTGAAGACCTGCACCTGCTCGGAGAGGGCGGCGCCCGCCGCGTCGGCGCCCCTGCCCAGGGCCCCGAGGTTGCCCACATAGACGCACCGCCAGAGGTCCGTCACGGGGGCGCCGGTCTCGAACACGGCCGACTCCCCGCGATCCGACAGTCGGCGGGCGTGGTGAGGGAGCGGCGCGCTGCCCGAGAGCCCGGCGTTGGCGCTCTGGCAGAAGTAGAGGCCCCAGCAAAGCCCATCGGCAGAGGGCGCGCGGCGGGCCGCACCTGGGTGCCCCCTGAGGCCAGGTCGCCCTCGACCAGAGGCACGCCTGCGGGATCCACCTCCGCGGCGAGCACGGGCTCGTAGCAGAACGTGCGGCTCATCCACGGGGGCATGATCACGCGGTGGAAACAGTTCTCCACGTCTGCGACACCGAGGGCAATGCGAAGCGCTCGGAGAGCGCCGCGGCCGAGGTCGCTGGTCTGCCCGGGGTCCTCGTCCACGAAAACCTCGATGGAGGCTGGGCCCTCCGCGGTCAGCAGGTCGACGTGAGGTGGCTGGGCGAAGCGCTGGTTGGCTGCTCGACCGTCCAAGATGAGTCTCTGCTTGGTCTTACCCTTCTTCCAGACGAAGAAGGACCCGATGAAGTCGATGGGCCGCGTGGTGCACCGGAGCATGCCTATGCCATGCAGGCGCCAGATGAACCGAAGGTACTGGCGACGCGATCGACCAAAACGAGGGTCAGAGTACGGCTTGACAGGCTCCCGCTGCCGCAAGTCCACGAACTCGCTGATGTCACGTAGCATACGCTCTCCACGACCCTCCAAGAAAAGGCGCCCCTGCTGGTCGACAAGGCCATGCACGGACGGCGCCGTGGAGACGTCGGCAGGCGGTGAGACGAAGCGCAACTGGAAGGGGGCAACGTTCGATTGGCATTCCTCATACAGGGAAACGCCACGGATCATCTCCAAAAACGA